ACATGGACCATTTCTCGAACCGCGACCAGAGCAGCTTATTGAGTGGTACAGACAACTCCGTTTACTCGTTCCCGGATCAACACGCCTCGAAGCCGGATGGAGACTGCGCGAGGGTGACGCACATCGCGATGACAGAGCCGCTCCCTGATAAACATCGGCACAATGTAGAGTGGAGAGCGTTCCGAACTGCCACTGCCTCTCTTCCAGGGGTAGATAAAGATCGTCGTGAGCGCCGCACATCGAGGAAAGCAGAGCGGTCTCGCAATCCAATCTCCAATCGCCGTTCTAGCTCGACGTTCGGTCGGATCGTGTCGCCTGCCCTGCTTCAGCGTCAAAAAAAGGTCATCGATAGTCGCATCGAAAAGACACTTCATGATATCGAGGATCACTACATCCAACTGAAGAAACTTCGACAGCTTCAGGCAAGTATCGAGGCGGAGATAGCAGAAGAGAAGCGCCGTGAAGAGAAGGAGAATCGGCTTGAAGATGAGGAGATGATGCGCCAGAAGGAGGGGGAGGATGGCGCTGACGATAGCAATAAGTCGAATTTTTAAAGGTTGTTGGAGTGACAGGTGTATTCGTTTGAGAAGAGAGTCCTATGAGCCGCTTTGAGGGAGGGTGACTGGGCTTGTAAAAAACATGGCTTTTCAAGATGGCGAGAGAGCGGGTGCTGTGGGCATGGTATTTGGCTTCTTGGACATCAAGCTGTATTTGCTTTGATGTGATATGTGTAACAGGAGACTAGCAGTATAACACGTGTTTTACGTCAATTTCCCATCGTTGTCATCTCGTCTTCACCGCGTCTTTGCACCTTAGCGCGTCCGAGTCGAGCGTTTGCTACCTAGATAGGCAGTTCACGTCACGTAAACAGACGCGTCCATCAAAACAACGACCGTGACTTGTTGCAGCATACATATACCCTTGCCTACAACCCACACAATCGCCACACCGGTTGTAGTACCCTGGCCCTACGGACCCGAAACGATCTCATCGAAGACGATAGGTACCACGTATTCGGTAACCACGCCCAAGATGTCTGTCGCTAAGGCCAACCTGGCCCAGCTCTACACGGAAATCGGCGACGCTAGCCTGCTCGATCACGCGCCCTATGACCAGATAGTCACCGCCTCGCAGTATTATGATCCTCTCGCTATATCCTTCAAAATCAGGTTTGGCTATATCGTCGACAAATACAGCAAGAGACCGCAAGAAATCTGGGTCCTCTTCTACCCACCCATTAAGGAAGGCCGGCATCCCGAGATGCAATTCCACTCATTCGACCCCGATACGAATGTGTTCACCAAGCACGATGACAGCAACATCAGCACCACGGTTTCCGCACTCGCTAGCGCGTTCAACAACCCGAAGAAAGCAGCGAAGGGCAAGCACGTGGCGCTGGCCAAGTACTACTACCTAAAGGCTCTCGTATCAAGGGAGGCGGGAGGCGCTAGTGAGCTGATGATACCTATACCGATTACTCGCACTTTCGTGGACAGCTTGAGAGTCGTTTGCCGGGAATTTGAGGAAGCAAAGGAGAGATCGTCGCGATCACCGTCAGTAACGCTGGTTGACGATCATGACAGCGTCCTCAGTGATCCTCCAGAGGACCTTCTTGAGCCCACTCAGCCAGTCAAGGCAAGCTCAATCGTCACTGTCGAGGTATCCTCCGTTCCGGTAAGTACCCTAAAGAACAGGACAATACATTCTTGCTCCGATACCAACTTCAACAGACTGCCAATGTCGACATTCAGCGACTCGAAACCCTCCTTGCGGTCCGCGACGACGAGATCGAGCTCCATGCTTCCAACAGCGCTCTAGATACGGAGAAGAGGGCGTTGGAACAGCGGTGCCGCGTCAATGAGGAGAAACAGACCGAGATCAACGCTCGCCGCGAACTGGTATTCAAGGGGATGAGCTTGATGGATGCATTCAAGTTAGGCGGGCAGATGGAGCGGGAGGAGAAGCGCCGAAAGCTCGGTTGAAGTCGCTTGATGAAGGTCTTGACGTCCTGTATTGTCAGTCATACACTTGAACGCCTGAGCAGCAAAGCCTACCCTGGAGGCTACATAGTGTCTTACTTGTATAACTTGTAGACCTTAATGTATTGTATACTTCTGAGGTACCGATTTCAGCCGTAGGCCAGGACTAGACACAAAAGAGACTCATCGCTATGCCGTTGACCTGCACCCCAATGATTTGACAGCAATGGGTAACTGTCAGGTAGTGAATAATCCAGAAGCAACTAATACACTCTCGTAATTAGCGCATCTCGCTGAATATATGACCACCTCATTTGATCACTGCAGTAGGCACCGCTTTCGTATCTGCACGCTCAGCTCTACCTCTCACAAGCGTCCAAGCCTGTCGAAGACGCAATATTGCGACTCTCGCCACGATGTCCGCCCCATCCCCCCAACCCGACGACAGCCCTTCCTACGCCAAACTCAAGCGCGACCTTGGCGACGACGCGTCTCTCCTCAACTTTCTCCCCTACAAGCGCGCCACTTTCGAGCCGCAAAACGAGATCGCCGAAGCAGCGCCTGAGCGACTCCTCTATGGCGACATGATGGAGAGCAAAGGCTCGCTCTGGATCTACTGGACCCTCAACTACCACAACAAGAAGAAGAGCCACCACGACTACCGGATGATAACCTTCCAGACCATCGAAGGCGCCAAAGGCCATGAGGCGGGCGTGCGTCCGAGTTCAGTCCAGAACGTCGCATTGGCTTCAGCGCCTTTCAAGCATGCGAAAGACCACGATGCGGTCGCAGCTATCGCGAAGTACTTCTTTATCCGTAGAGGTATCGATATGCAACTGCAGTATCCGGTGTCGTCTGGCCCGTTCAAAGAGGCCCTTATGCGCGTGTGTCAGCATTACAAAGCCATATACAACGAGACGCAGGCCAACAAGGCAGCAAGCCGGCGTTCATCAGTCATGCCCACTGGAGGTCGCGATCAGAGTGTCGTTTCGCAATTCCAAGATCCACGAGAACCTTCGTATGCAGCTCCGTTAGCGCCATCGAGACCTGTGTCGCGCGCGCCATCCCGTCCCAAGAGCATGAGCAGTATGGACACTCGCAAGCGCCGGCGCAGTTCGGGCTCAAATCTCGACCGTCAGCCTGAGACAGAAAAGCGCAGCGCTCCTCGCGAGGGATCTAGCAACTTCTCATCCTATTTCCGACCACCTTCCCCGTTCCTCGCGTCGGTTCAGCCTTCCCTTCACGAGCGCCCTGGAGATGAAGAGATGCGAGACCTTTCCGTTAGTAACAACAACGAAGCAGATCACGTACAACCAGCCGACGGCGCGCGCCCGGACGACATTGACCGCGAGACGATGATGGATCAATATATTGAGCTCAAAGCCCGGGAAGAGGATCTTGATAGTAGGATCAGCGACATGGAGACGGAGCGTGTACGTATTGCGGACCAAGTAGCGGGGCTACAAGCGGACATCAACACGATCAGCAACCGACAGGGCGACTTAAAAGAAGAAAAAGACCGCGTGCGAGCGGAGAAGAAGCAGCTGCAGATTCAGCTAGATAAAGATGAGCATCTGGACTTTGGGTTTGAAGCTGGACGGAGGATGGAGACTAAGCGTCAACGGCGGGAGTAGTCTTAGGAAGGCACGGACCTATCCCCGACGCACTGCTTAGAGGTCGCTAAGGTTATTGTTAGCTCTCTTTACTAGAAACTAGTACCTTACTAGAGGTAACTATTAGTTATATTACTACTACTACCTAGCTCTTATTAAGTATTTTAAGCTAAATTTTTTAGCTTATAAACTTTTACTTATATAAATTACTATAAATATAGCTATATAAGTATATTAAATTTTCTTTTTTATATAATATTAGGTCTAACTTTAAAAAATTACTTTCTACTTTAGCTATACTTTAGTAGCTAATATATAAGCTTTTACTTATTTTACTTATAGCTAGTATAATAATACTAGCTTATTTTAGTATAGCTATACTTACTAAGAACTTTAATATAAAAAGTTTAATAATAGTTAAATATAGCTTTTTTATACTACTTACTTTTTTTTAAAGCTTTTTAATAAGCTTACTAATATAGCTATAGTTATAAGTAATTTACTTATATTATTAGCTTAAAAGCTAAATATATAAAAAGTATCTTAGGCTTAAAAGTAAGCTAAAAGTATTATTACTACTATTAAAAGCTTAAGTTTCTATAAGAAATTTTAAAACCTAGTAGAATTAAAATAACGTTTATAGCTAGATTAAATAGATAACCTTAGCCTTAGCTTCGCTAAATGCTAATAATTGTTTGCTTAACAGTTACTTAAAAAATAGCGGGGTTAAATCCTGTATTCTTTTTTTATGAGCTAGAAGGAGCAAGGGATGGCTAGCTGCAGATGGACGTGGCCCGGGGAGGATACACAGGTAGCTCGAGTTACCAGCAAAGACGAGTGCCCAGGTGGATCGTGTATATTGAAGTAGAACTGGGGACAGATAAAGTTTCTACAACAATCTCAATATTTGAGGTACATAAATTGGCAACATGTCGATGGAAAGGGGGAGAACCTGAAGGAGCTGTGAATAGAGTTTCAGAAGTGCGAAATCAGCTAGTGGCCCCCGCAAGTTCGATGACGCATGACGTAATCAGTAAATGCGGCTAACGGTAAAACTCTTGGCTCCCCAACGTAAATTCGCGTCGCGTCCTCGCGATCGAATATCATCTCAACCGCTTCCAGTGCGTACGAAGAACGTAAACCTGGGTCTTATCGATATCTGTAGCCTACGCGAAGTTGCGTTCACGCCAACCACGTCACGCATACCCGAACCCTGTGAACGACCCACATCGCGCCACGTAAAGAGCGGTCTGAACAACGATTGATACGATTTCTATCTTGTACTTTTCAATATATTCTATAGTACTTGAAGCTTTGACATCAAGACAACATTATACTTCAAAATTCCCACAAGCTTCCCGTACTGATTCAGAGCCCGCCCAGCCCTTTCCAGTCCCACAAACAAATCATGGATTGTTCTGACGGCTTCTCATTCAATGATCTCAATTGGATGAGACAAAACGAGATACCAAATGCTGTGAAGACAGCGCTACTATATGGCGAGATCCGTGGACCCGGAGAGAAAGCTGATGTCTGGATCTACTTAGACAAAGCCACGACGTCCCTTATCTGGCAGATCTACTACCCCGAGGGTGACGCCAAGCCTCAAGTCATCACCGTTGAAGAGGCTCTGGAGAAAGCGAAACCCTGTGCCTGGTTCAAGCTTGCCACAACCCCGGAGAAGCTGGAGGCCTTGGCCACGTACTATTTCGCGAGGAAGAAGTTGACGAAGAACTTCCAACCGAAACTCACGTTCAAACAAAACCGACTGCTCAGAGCCATGCTCGGTAATGAGGCCCCATCCAAGATCGTCAAATTACGAGTTCGTGTCCCCGAAGACCTTGGTCGAGAACTGTCACCAGAAGCCCTGGTTGAACCTCAACAACCTTCAGAGGTCGTTCCAAGTCAAAGAGCCCGCTCAAAGTCAACAATATCATTCCATCAGCTACCCTCACCATGCAGCACTACCGACTACGACGCGAAGGTATGTTACGAAAGAATCAGCTGTAATAAACGTCATCTAACAGCATGCAGCGCAATGATGAATTACGAAGATTGGGTCGAGTGGTTCGATCAAAGTAGCACCACTCAATCGACCCAATCGATCGAATCGACCGTTACTTTGATCTTCAAGACCGGGAGGAGACCGCCTGCACCAACCTAATGCGCCATAATAACCGAATAGAGGACCTGAAGCGGAAGAGGTCAGAGATTGAGAAACAAATCAATATAGAGGCGGAAGCTGTAGAGTTGCTCATCGCTGAGAGACATCAAGCCAAGGTCGCGAAGGACCGACTTTGGAGTGTGTTGTCGAGAGAAGAGGCCTACGAGCTGGGTGCCCGCGACACCGCAAGAAAGATTGCCAGAATCGATTGAGCTCAAAACCGATCCATGGCCTGATGTCGAGGTACTGCCATCTTCTGGAACCAACGATTTGGATGGAAGTGGATGCATCGCTTTACGACTAGTCACACAAGCCAGTCTACGACGACGAGTCGCCATATAGGAACTCCAATCCTCTGCGATCGATGCCCAGGCGCGAAGAACGTCGCAATACCGGCCACCAGTTCTCTCCGACTTTACTTCGGAACTTTATCTATTCGCGCAAATCTCGTCGCGTGGGTATCATTTGGGTTGCGGACGTCGTGGCTGGCACGTCGCTACGTAACATCGCAGTACTAGTGGACGGCAGCCAAACTATCACGTTGCGCACTCATGCGAGTCACGGGAAGCAACGCGTATAAAACAACTCGACCACACGTCTATCCTCGTCATTACACACCACTACCCTCGCTGCCAAACGAAAGCCTGCACCGACCGGCAGCGCGAAACTCGCTCCACGACGAGAACCAACGATCGAATACGCCGGAGCATCGCGCTATCAACAGATTCTTCCTGAGACGTCATTGAGGCGTCACAATACCCACATACTCCTGATGATTGATAAGCATCGAATAGCGAAAGGCGAAGTCGCGGAGTAAGCATGCAGATAGGCTGCCTGGCAATACTCGACGACGCGAAGCCAAGATCTGCGCTTCAGACACCAAGCAGACCTACCAGTCCAGACCTTTGGAAGCCTGATGTCAGGAGCTGGAGCAGGAGTTTGAAGATGGAACCCGAGCGCTGTGGCGCTGTAGTTTGGACGCATGAATGATGTAGGACAGTTTTGAAACACACTACCGTGTGGAATACAATACGATAGCTACGTGACTACAGCAACTTCTAGAGTCTCCGTGGTTTGCAAACGTCATACTGATCGTCCTGCTACTGCCGCTGCTACTACGGTACCAAGAAAGTCCCCGTCCAAGCCATTAACGCCGTACTAAGCACAGCGTAAACTAGTCTTCCTCGCTGCTGTCGTTCTCAGACTTTGCACCCTTCCCCTCCCACTTCGTCGCTCTCTTCACCACCTCGCCTCCAAGAACGAAGATAGCGCGCTCCTTCGGGGTGAGTGACGACCGAAGATGCTTCATCTCGACTCCAATGTGCCGGTTCTCTTCCTTCAGCTCCCGGCCCTCCACCTGCATGTCGGCTAGCTGAGTCTCAAGAGTTTTGATCTCATCGCGCACATCCTCCTGCTTCTCCTTGTTGATCATGATGTTTTCTTTGCACCTGCTCTTCTTATCGAGGGCGTTACGATAAGCGTCAGCGAAGTCGATGGACGATTGGGAGTTGGGGCTCTTCTCGACCTGGCAGCTTGTCAGTATATAACGGATTTTAGATGATTAGGTGAAAGTTACAAGGACTTCTGGAGAACCCCGGCGTGTTGATGAAGTACGCGAAGTGTCCATAGCGTCGCTGTTGTCTGCCTCAACGGGGTCCGAGTGGATGAGGAAATCTTGGCCTGGGTTGACCATTACTGGGGGAGAAGGTCGTGCTGTACCTGCCGGAAGAGACGATCGCAGTGGTGGTGTGCTCGTAGTCACTCGCTTCCTGGGTAGGTCCGGGGTCATGGTGCGAGCCCTCTTGAGAGAATCGCCTTCGGGGATAAACAAGCTCGGTTCTTTTGATACTGCGGGAATCATAGAGACCGTAGGAGCGCGCTGAGGGGTGGGCTGCGGAGTGCGTCTAGCCTTGGCCAGTTTGACGGGGGGGCTGATCACTGCAGGCTGGCCGTTCACCTTCACCACCGAGCCAGCTCTTATTCCAGACTGAGAGACTGACCGCTTGACAGCGTGCGCGTCCTGAGCGGGCGAAGCGTGCGTCATCACCACCGAGCCATCTCCTTCTGGCCTAGACTGAGAGACTGAGGGCTTGGTACTGTACGCGTTTTGTGCAGCAGAGGCGCGTGACTTCTCCTTCTCACTATCCGCGGCCACCTTCACAGCGTACTCTCCAGCCGTCTTGCATGCCGTAGTCAGCCAAGTGGTGAAGTAACCATTGACTATCCATGGCACTGGTGTATTAACTCCCTTGAAGATGAAGTAGTACTTGATCACTACGCGGAGCTGGTCCATATCCATAGTGCCCGCTTTCTTGAGGCACTTGAACGCATTTGCCGGAAGAGCGAGTCTGAAGAGGTCAGTACGTGTTCTACATTAGCTCATACAGCAGGAATGACTTACCTCACCGCCTCCTCCGCGCTTATGGCTCCTCGGAGCTTACTGAGACGGTCGAAGATGTTGAAGCGTTGCTCGGGTGAGCGGCCATCAGCGTGATCGTTCTGTAGCAGAATCCACACCTGGCAATCTTTATCCTTCCCTTCCTTCATGGTACCGAAGAGCATACGAAACGGCATCATATTCGGACGCTCACTCTTGTGGTCCGCGAAGGCGGCAAGCCGGACCTTGGTGACAGGGAGATGATGGAGAACTGGGACAAGGGCTCGGGTTTCGGCAAGGGCCGTATCGGCCGCACCTACTTGGTTCTCCATAGTCATTGGGATCAGTGCTGAGATTGAAGCAGGTGCTTTCGGTGTAAGGTAGCTGAGTTGGTTGTCGCGTCGTATTTTGTGTTGATCGCGGCGTTTGCATTGTATGAATGGGGTTAGCGTGGCTCTAGCGCGCTTTCGATGGCCACGGGGAGAAGGTGTAGCCTAGCCATGAGGTACCCGGGAGGCATTCGCTGTATTTTATTTGAGCTTTTGTTTCTGTAGACGACATTGAGTACCTCCTGGGTACAGTTCATGCTGGTGCAACTCTGCGAACATACTCTATCAGTACCTGAGTACCTGCGAGCTTTCCATTACCACACACACCGTTGAGCATGTCGCAGTCAGCGCATCAGCGCTGTGAGGTCTTCTAATTAGATGTATGACGACCTATCTCCTACGGAATCTGTAGGCCTGATCTGTGCGTCGATTATACCACTAGCGTTAAGTCGGCTTTGATTTTGCATTTGCTCTCGCCTTCCCAGATATCAAAGTTCAACAATAGTACTGTATCGCCTGTCAATGACAACTGCAGAGGAGACCCAAGCGACGCTGCCCTTACGATGGCAACGCTGCATCAACAGACTGAACGCCACGTTAGTCCGCCGCGGCTTGTTCACAGTCATAGAGGAAGTGCTCTCTCCTGCTGCACCCACATTCAACCAGGCAATTCTACAGGGACGCAAAGCTTTGAAAGCCTCACTCGGGGACCGAAAGCAGAGTGATGGTATAACAGTTCCCGTATGGGCGTACATACTCCTCGATAGCAATGGAAGTGAGCCATTGATCGTGTTTCGCGACGAGGTGCAGCTTCACTCGAATGGCGCGGAAACGGCTCAACTATACCCGCGATCTGCTTCGTCCTTATTGCGAAAAGCGAATCATCTCAAATCGCCGTTCTGTCTCCTTCATCAAGAAACAGATGAAGGTTTCAAGGATGGGCGCGGTATGCTTTGCGCAGTCATCGCCTACTATGCGCTGATAGCAGGATTGAGCGACTGTGCCATCCGATGGCGTCGGTTTGACGCCTGTATGATTGCCGCCCTGGATTATATCAACATTACCCTGAAATGGATGAGCGAAATACAGCATGAGCCGACGCCCAGCACAGCGACAGCCATGAGACCTTCACTCATCGTGAGACTCCCCATAGGACGAGAGGCTCTTGCAAAGATAACTGGAGTTTCCCGTGACTTCGAAGTTCCAGACAGCGAAGACGAAGAGGATATCATGCTTCCCAACAAAGACATCCAAGAGCAGCCAGGTATCCCAAACGCCACGCGCCAACCCGCATTCCCCGTTCTAGAGGAGGTACCAGACACCATCGACAGCGTCTTCGGAGACAACGTGGCCGGCGTCGCAGAAGAAGTCGACAGCGTCATCGGGGATGCCAACGACAGTATCATTGTGGCAAACAACAGATCCCAAGTACACGGAAACGAGCAAGCATGCCATCCCTCGTTAACGATCAGGAAGCGCAAGCTGAAGGATATTACGGCAGGAAGCGATGGCGACGTGGTCGAGGAGATGGACGGGCACGGTTGGCGGCAAGCTGCTTGGGACCGATCACGAAGGAGGTAGGGTGATTGAATTTGAGGGGTTGATAAGGTGATACTGTTTGGAAGGTCATATTGTACAGTAGAGTGTTGAGGTATCGTCACTTCGAAGTTAGGATGGCAGCGGCAAAGGCCGGCTGTTACGTTTCCCGCCCGAAGTTTTACCGACAGCTGGAGCTAATCCTTTCGCGATCTAGCGCAATCTGAGGAATTCCCACGATCCTGCACACATCCTCCATCGATGACTAAAGCTCACTTCTCTCCCCAGACGTCTCTCTGCGCCCTTTCTTGCATCCGTCCAACGCAGCCACCGCCTCGTTACTTGCCTTCAAATGCTCGAATTTTGGTGCATCTTCTCCCAATCCCCATGCAAACACACCACCAAGCCCCTTATCCTTCATGATGATCTGCATCTTGCGCTTAATAGCCTCAGGCGTATCCCAGGTCCAGAACAAGTTCTCTTCAGCATCCCAGTAGTACTGCCCACCACCAACCTCGTCATACGTACCGCTCTCCATCGCACGCTCGTACGATGCAGAAAGTTCCTCGGGAACAGCGTCGTGCCATGAGAATGCGCCGGCTTTACCTAGGTCAGCGCCTGTAACAGGGTCTTCCATGAGTTCTGTCGCGCAGCCGATGGGGTTGACACTGCATGTCGAATTCGCAGCGGTCTTGTACCATTTGATATAGAATGCCAGTCCCAAGTTCGCTTTTTCGGGCGGCACGCCGGCGTCGAGGTATGCATCGATGGCTTCTAGCGAGTTCTGGATTCCAGTGTGATGCTTCGTTACGTTGTCGCGGCGGTTGAACATGTCGTATGTCATGATGTTCAGGTAGTCGACTGACTCCATGATTGCGGGGATGGTAGATTGGGTGAAGGCTAGCATGTCGCGTGGTAGACCGGGGACAGCTGCTGAGATGGTCTTGTCAGGCCCTAACGCTGAGCGGATTTCCGCTAGTAGCTTGGGGTAAGCAACTATCTCCCAAGCTTTGTTGGAGTTGAGATGGCCAGGTGTTTTGTAGTCTTCGCCGTTGCCGCCTGGGTATTCCCAATCCACGTCGATACCTTATGAGGTCAGCTTCTTCTATCATCGTGCCTGTTCGTGTGCGACGCACCATCAGCGCCGGTAGCATCGAGCATAGCCTTGGCGTTGCTAGCGAATAGCTTCCGGCTTTCTTCTGTTCTGGCGGCTGTCGAGAAGCCATCCGTATCTCCCCATCCGCCAATCGCGACTTGGATGATCGTACCATCGGCGAACTTGGGCCGAACTTCTTCAATGGTAGTGAAGAGCGGCCATTCATCTTGCTCTGGAGTGTTGAAGGTATCAGAGCGCATGAAGGCGAGGGCCACATCAGTAATGTTCGACACCAGATTTAGCTCCGGCACCACGTTATGTTGCCTGATAACCATCAGCGACGTTGTTTCATGTAGTACTTGCAGGCTTTTGGCTTTACCCTGTCAGATACATGATGTACTTCAGCCTCGTCGTAGTGGCCGCTGCAGCAGCGAACGTCCAGGCCATGTAGAGCCATAGCCAAAGTGTTGTAGCCATAGTTTGTGATCGGTCTGAACGTCAAGACCTTTTCAAAAGAGCACTAAGACGCGTCCAGCCGTGGTATGGTGACAGTGGCTGATGGCAGCGGGTCCCGAAGATGCCCCGCAATTGACTAGGTCCTTCACGGACTAGCGTCTTTGGTCGACATCCCGTCGCACCTCCAGGGCTGGGTAGGTGCCCGGCAGTCGCGTCTCGTCGAAGGTCAACCCCGAAAGGCCTCAGCCATCGCAACGGCAAAGCCTACGGCCGCCCTGGACGGAGCTGGATCGAATTTCATGGAGCGTCATGAGCTGACAACTGCTTATTGTGGCTTGCCCCGCTGTCACTGGACTGGCTGGAGACGTTGCGCGATTGGTAGGAAGAAGCCAAGAGCTTCAGCCTTCCGATCAGGGTGTCATCCGCGCATCTCATCTTCAGCCTGGTCGGTCTGCTCAAGGAAACCTGCTACCTTTCAGATTACATACTTGCTCTAGCATTCCGTCCACCTTCCCGTGAGCTGAGCGTGTGCTCATACCAACGACACAATGGGGGCAACCATGTCCAAGAACGCTACTTCCAGGTCCCAGTCGCCATACGAAGCTCTCCCTTTATCGCACGGAGAGATACGCGTCCTGAAGGTTGCGCTCGGAAGTGGCGACGACATAATCAAGTGCAAGATGAAACGCATCTCGCTGCGCACCTGGCGCGTACGAACCTATGAAACTATCTCATATTGCTGGGGAGCTCCTCGAGATCCGTCCACCATAGAGCTCAATGGACACCTGACAAAAGTACCGGCAAGCTCAGAGGCCGCTGTTAGACGCATGCGACTCAGCGACCGACCGCGAGTACTCTGGATCGATGCCATATGTATCGATCAGTCGTCGACGACAGAACGCAGTACACAAGTAGCTTTCATGGGAACAGTTTACAGCACCGCAAAGCACAACCTCGTTTACCTTGGCGAAGATGACGACAACATGGCTGATAGAGGTATGAAGGCTCTCGAAGTCGTTGCGGACGACATGCGCGCCGCGACTGCAGACTTCACCCTAGTGTGGGAAACCATCCGCAATGAGAATACGGGTGTCATTGTATCCTCAAACGAACCGTTTAGCGCGGATGTAGATTTCGAATCTCTTGAAGCTCTTTTCAATCACCACTGGTTCAGGTAAGACTATACGTCCTATTTCACGTCGAGTTGAATTCAGCGATTATAGACGTCTGTGGGTGCTTCAAGAAGCGGTTCTTGCCTCATCCAATACCTGCCATTGGGGCACTTATACTCTCAATCTACTCGATATAGTACGAGGTGCAGCGTGGCTCCTGTACAGACTTCGATTCATTCCTCGTAGTCTTTCCGATTGCGCTGGCATGCGCTGTGCCTTCGAGATGTTCGACATCATCTACCCCGACCATCGCTTTGCTTTTGAGCGCGAATACCTATCCAGTATGTTCGTGACCATTCTAAACTTCGAAAAGACTGAGCCAAAAGATAGCATCTTTGCGATTCTGGGCTTACTGGACAAAGACAGATCCCTAGAAAACAGTCAAGCGGCATTACTTGAGGTTGACTATGCAAAATCGCTTTCTAGCGTATTGCGCGATGCTACACGGTATGCCTTGTGTCAAGGAGGTAGTCTGCACCCTTTTAACATGATCGATCACGACTTCGATGTGTTGGACGATCCCCAATCGTTTCCGACATGGGCCATTCGCGCAGACCTGCGACGAGAAGCTTGGGACGCTCTGTCTATACCTAATCATTTCAATGCTAGTGGTGGTCTCGAGGCGCCATCTTTACTTAATGATGTTCCTCTTGGCGAAGAAGTGCTGCTTCTCCAAGGAATAGTGGTTGATGAAGTATATCAAACGACCGCCTCGTGCCTAAGAGGTACCTGGGACAGCTACGAAGAGTTTCACGAGTGGCTGATCTCTGTCATGGGTACAGTTTTGCGCCACTGCAACGTCGCAAGTCGGGAAGAGCTCTATCTAGCCACGGCTTTTACTCTTGCGGCCGAAGAAACCTGGAATAGACGACGCGCACAGTCGAGTGATGATGTACAGGGCCTTTTAGATTATCTCAAGAGCTTGACCCCGGACGATAAAGATGAAGCCTCAGATGGCGACAGGATCACGAAAGGTTTTGACTCGGGAAAGATGATGTCGGCGCGCGACGCTTCTTTCGTGGATTATTGTATGAACCGCCGTTTCTTCGTTACCGGGGCTGGGCGCGTGGGTATAGGACCTCGTTGCATGCAACCCGGAGATGTCATTGTAGTCCTAAGAGGAGGAAGAAAGCCTTTCATCCTGCGAAAGAAAAGCGACGGCTATTGGCTGCTTGGTGAGGCCTATGTGCATGGCATCATGGACGGCGAGGCGGTGCAGTTGCACGAGGCTCAGGGCGGATCAGAGGAGGTGTTTCGTGTGCGATGAAGAGGACATCTTTCTACAAGAACGGTCCGGCGCAAGTGTAGCTTTGGGCGAGATGTAAGGTTTCGAAGAAGAACGCCCATCTGGACTACTATCATAACAATCCGCAGACTCATCCTACAATGATTGGAACATACACAGAACCCCAGACCAAGCGACTAATACACTACCATATCGCACCACCAACATCACATCACACCACCAAGCCCCAGAACAACGACCGCAACCAAAACCAACACGCATCACCCACACGTCACACACCACTCATTCACTCATCACATCCAAAACCACAATGCAAAACACAATCAAGCACACCATAACACACATTTCATACATCTCACACACCCCAAGGTGCTGTCCAACTTTCTGCATTTCCCTATTTTCCACCATCCATATCATACATACGCCCATCGGGTATCATGACTCCATACCCAGTGCAGTCCAATCCAACCCAATCCATTTCCACACCATGCTATGCAGTACTTTCGTGTTTGAAGCAGATAAAAACCCAAGAAACGCCCTCGCTATGCATACAAAATCTTCATATGATACACTCCTTCCTCCAATATCTCTGACTTCGTTCCTCCTGTTCGTTTGTGTGACGCGTAGTTCAATAGTGAAGGGAAGGCCAGGATGCGGGGACGGAAGCATCAGACGACTAATCTGAGAGTTCAATGGCATCGTCTTCCGTCGCGCCTGGTTTGCCGTTTGCACCGGGGTCTGCTGCGCCGCCGCCTTCGTCACTGCCGTTCTCACTACCATCGTCTTCATCTTCGTCTTCGTCCTCGTCTTCTTCGTCGAAGGACTCTGCATCCTCATCTTCTTCAATCTCGTCTTCCTCGTCGAGATCGGAGTCTTCGTCGTAATCGAGCAGTTCTTCGTCGTCGCCGTCATGCATCTCAGAGTCTGCATCTTGGTCTTCTGCGTCTCGGTCGTAGTACGCTTCCTGTTGCTCCTGCTCCTGATGTTGCTGGTAGGGCGCAGCCTGGGAATGAGTAAACTGAGCTTCGGGATAAGACGATGTAGTGCCAAAGTGGTCATAAGACTGGACGTCCTCTTCGTTGTCGGTCATGATGGCGTGCTCATCCTGAGCATCGACATCGATGACGTGTGCGCCGTTTATCAATGCAAAATCGCTAGTGAACTGGTCTTGCTTGTAGCTCGCCGGTTGAGAAGAAGTCTGCTGGACGAAAGAAAGCTGTGTGGGTATTGGTGACGAGATATCCAGTGGCTCTGTGCTGGCGGGTCGGGTGCTAGCGGGTGATTTGCTGAGACCCTGTTCGATTCGGTATGCGCGTACGGCTTCCGCGCCTTGGCCGTAGAGATGGCGTGGTACGAAGCGACTTGTACGTTCCCAGTATGCTGGACGGTTCTTGGTGGATGTGCTAGTGCGGAGGGTGCTGCCGTATGTCGATGTGCCGTATGTGGACTGTCGGCTCTGAGATGCCGAGAGTCCAAGGTTGGGCACGCTGCGACTCCAGTCGTGTTGGACATTTGATGAAGTGGCCGCGGGAGATGCAAGACCCCTAGCCCGTGCGATGAGCTGGCTTGCTTTTGCATCAAATGATCCTGATCGATACGACTTGCCTGGGGTGAAAGAAGGAGGCGGCATCTCAGCTCTTGAATCTGCCAGCGTCCGTCGCGCCCTTGCAATCAGATCGTTCGTGGAATCGTTAAATGAAGACCGTCCGCTAAACGACATTGCGCCGTTGAAGGAGTGAGACGGTGATGTAGTGGATGTTGACTGCCTAAAGGACTCCTTGATGGCATCAGCACGAGCGCGCTGTTCTTCGAGCATAGTTCTCGGTGCTGACTGCTCATGTTGCTCCGGTGCAGGCGACGCTGGTGACAACTTGGGTCGCTTGGGCTCGATGAGCTTGGGCTTCTCTTCGTCTGATGAACCAAAGTCGAAGCTGCGCTTCCGGTGCTTGCTCGGATCGATGCCCATAGCGCGCAACCTGAACCAGTCCGTCTCGGTCCGGTCTACTGGCGCATTCGCAACGGCTTGCTGATATGCCTGGGAGTATGCGGTGATTGATGTGCTGGCGTTGCTTGTGCTCTTGTCAAAGGTAGACTCAGGAGATGGGTTGTTGACCGGCACCGATTTGGCAACGTTCACACCATTCGTGTCCGAGCTCTGAGCCTGGTGTCGCTGTTGCGTTCGCTTGGCGCGCCGAGAATTCGAAGGTTGCTGAGACACCGATCGCCCCTCTGGTGGTACTACTGTCATCTTACCGTTCGATGTTGCCGGCTGTACCGGTGCAGGCGCGTCTGCCGGTTGTTCGTCTGGTCCGGCCTCCGCCTTTGCTCGCTGCTCTTTCAGTCGCCTCCTCCTCTCTCGTGCCTTTTGTAATTTCTTCTTCTTTTGCACCGCCAACATCATCTTGGCCAAGCCTGCCCGCTTCAACTCATCTAGATATCTCTGATGCTTCTGATCTACCATCGCCACTCTCCTCTCCATCTCTACAGTGATTGCAGCTTCCTTTGCTAAATTCATAGCAGCGTTTTCGACGAATTGCATCAGCAATCCCTCCTGGGGGTGAAACATAACATCCGCCGTGAGCGCATGCAATGCCGAGTCCTTCTCTCGTATCCGTGTTTGCCGTGCTTCCTCCTCTTGTACTTGACGGAATCTCGCCTGTCGAGCCAACTCTTCTTGCTGCTCGCGTGCCTTGCGCTCTCGATCAGCCTGTTCTTGCCGCTGTCGCGCAGCCGCAGCTTCCGCAGCCTCGGCCTCACGCTTCTGCTCTGCTTCCTTCGCTTGCTTTGCTCGTTGGGCTTCCTGTACACGTCGGCGTGCTTCGTCCAGTTTCCGTTGCTTCTCAGCTGCCTCCTTCTTCACCTGCTCTGCCTTCTGTGCTTCATCTTCGTGTGGAGAAGTATCCGTCGGAGGCGGTGTTCCTGATGGGGTGAAGGACTGTTGTGGGGTTTCTTGCGAGGGTGTAGCATTGAACGAAGATCCAGTAAAGTTGAAAGCAGAAGCTGCTTTGGGTGTAGTCGTAGCCGGAGGCTCTTCTCCCCAATGGAATCCTTTCTGGAATTCAGCTTCAGCTTTCACCTGAGAAGGTGTTTTCGAAACTATTGGGTTGAAGAGGTTCGCTGGAGCTTGGGTTGTTGTAGACTGAGGCTGCGCGGTGTTGTTCTTCAGGAAAGGATTCGCGGGAGTCGGTGTAGTGGTTGGCTCGGCCTTCGCAGCATTGTTGAACTTCAAGAAGGGATTTGCGGCAGTCTGTGGCGTCGTAGATTCCGGTTGCGCAGTGCTGTTCTTTAGGAAAGGGTTTGATGATGGTGCAGTCGGTGTCGACTGGAATGAGTTGGTGTCCTTGCGCAGGAATGGATTGGCCTTCGCGTCCGCCGGCTGTCCAAACTGAATGCTGTTCTTGGAAGGATCGAATAGGCCAGGCTGGACGGCTTTCGCGAATGGATTTGGAGTTGTCGTGGAATTGCCATTCGGCTGAAAGGGAGATGCGGTCGCGTTGAAGCCGAAGCCACCAGCAGATGGTGTTGCGTCGGAAGGTTGCTGTTTGAAGACACTGGTGGTCTCTGGAATGAACAACGACGTCTGGTCTTCCATTTGTTGAGCTTGCGTGGCAGACAGCCCGCCCTTCCTGGCTTCCTGTACAGTCATGCCTGCGATGACAGTCGACAAGGGACGACCACATCGCTTGGCCTCGACGATAGTTGCGGAGAAGAACTGAGGCTTGATATCGGCTTTGGCGAGGACATTCGCTTTCCTGTCGTAATGCTTCTGTTTGATATCCATGAAGCGCTGTCCTTGCTCGTTGAATTCGAAGACAAAACCGTGCGCCTCGCAAAACTCGACGGCCTCGTCTTCAGTGTCCATGCCGAGTACTTCTCTCAGCCTGTCGGTTGTCCAGAATTCGACGGAAACCTGATGCCTGTAGAGACCGACTCGGTAGCAACGCCAGACTACATCCAGTGCAACGTGACGGACCCTGTTGAAGGATATAGCGGCCGCACATGCCATGAGATATGATACCCGGGGCGACTTGATCAACTCCCAAAACCGCTTCCAATTCGACTGGCATTGTACCCAGTTGTCGTAATTCCTGTGAATGAGGATGGACTTGAGGAGGCGGAAGATCTCGAGAGCGGTTTGGACCCGTGGGTTGTTCCGTAAATCGCTAGGTAGACGATGGAGTTCGTTCTCGAGCTGGGTGTTGGCGTAGATGGGAGCCAGGATGAGGCGATATGCCCAGAACTCGGCTTCGCACTCTGATATGATGTTGGCGCGTCGATTGTCGGCGTATCGCTCCTTCAGTGAGATGAGGGTCTGATTCAGCTGCTCGACATCTTGTTGATGCGAGTAATCGTCCTTGGTACTCCGCGCCATGTGATGAGCCGACAACATGTAGAAGCGGGCGCTGTACTCGAGCGAGGTGAGTAGTACCGCGATGTCGGCCCTGTTCTCGATACGTTGTGTGCGGAGGTCCTTTCGAACGGCTCGTGTGCGATCCCAAAGCCATGAGTGGAGGAACTGGAAATCGTCTTCGTCTAGGCGGCCGTACAGGTACTTGAGGGTTTTCTGCGGATATTAAATCACGATCATGTAGAGAGTTCCGCTAACTTACCAAGCAGGTGGCTGGCGACCGAATCTCTGAGACCAGCTCTACGTCCATGCCTGCCGCTGACCGCGCGTATGCCTTGACCATGCGCGACTCATCTGCGATGCGCTGGCTACGGGAGGGTAGGTGTTGGGTCTCGGGTGTGCATTCGGGGGCCTTGACGTCGAGTTCGACTATGCGACGCACGCGCTCGTATTCCGGGCACATTTCCTGGCAAAGACCGTACAGCTTGACGGAGTCGATCAGGCGCATCTGGCCTTCAGGGTTCATGAGACCATCGCGGACGAACTTCTCGCGGATCTTGGGGCGCTCCGCTTTGATCTGTGCCTGTCAGTATTGACTAAAAGACACGATGTATGTAGTCCTTACGTGTTGCAGTCGCTTCTGGTATTCGTGGGGTGCAAAGGATGGCGCAGA